CCCACTTCTCCCGGTGCCCATCTCCTTTCCCACCCACTTCTCCTGATGCCCGGCTCTCCTGCTGCCCAATTCTCCCTCTGCTTCTCTCTCCTGCCCACTTCTCCTGATGCCATCTCCCTCGCCACCCACTTCTCCTGCTGCCCCTCTCCCCTCCTGCCTCACGTTCTTCTCCCTTCCCTCTTTTCCTGCTGCTCCTCTCCCATCCCATCTCCCCTCTGTGCCCACTTATCTGGGATCTGGGCACCTTCCCCCATGTCCATCCAGGCTGAGCAGTGCCCCCCATCCCATAAATCCCATAAATCCCATAAACCCAATGGATCTCATCCCACGGATCCCATCCCGATCCACGGATCCCATCCCATCAATCCCATAAATCCCATAAATCCCATAAATCCCATAAACCCAATGGATCTCATCCCACGGATCCCATCCCATCCCATCAATCCCATCCCATCCCATCCCACCAATCCCATTCCAATGGGGAATTGGGCATTGGTTCCATGCCCGGCACAGCAGCACTGCCCTGACCCTCTGGATGACCCCACAATCCTCACCCCAAATCCTTGGGATGAGGAGCTGACCCTGGCACAGGACAGGGACCTCAGGGCCACATCCCACCCCAAATCCAGGGTGAAGCCCCCAGGGAAGGGAGGAGCACCCCAAAAAAACCACGAGAGGACAGCGGGGTCTGCTGGGGACAGATTTTGGGGTCACCAGCGGGTTAAAGGGGAGCACTGGGAGAGGTGGGGGAACACCAGGGATGGGTTCTGATCCCAGGAATGGGATTTTCCCCCCAGGGATGGGGTTTTTCCCCAGAAATAGGGTTTTCCCCTAAGGATGGGGATTTTCCTCCAGGGATAAGGATTTTCCCCACAGGGATGGGATTCTTCCCCCAGAGATGGGAGTTTTTCCTCCAGGAATGAGGATTTTTCCCCCTAGGGATGGGGTTTTTTTCCCCAAGGATGAGGTTTTGCCTTCAGGAATGGGGGTTTTTCCCCTCAAGGATGGAGTCTTTTCCCCCAGGAATGGGGTTCTGCTCCTAGGGATGAGGTTTTGCCCCCAGGGATGGGATTTTTCCCATAAAGGATGGGGATTTTCCTCCAGGGATCAGGGTATTTCCCCTAAGGATGGGGTTTTCCCCAAGGAATGGGGGTTTTGCCCCAAAGGGGCCCCCGAGAAGGGGCTGCCAAGAGGGTGGAGAAGCTGCAGACTCTGGTATGAGAGCAGGCACAGAGCCCTGGAGCAGGAGAGGAGGAGGAGGAGGAGGAACAACTCCTCTTCCCCTGCCAAGCTCTCCGTGGCACTCAGCATCCCTCAGGATCCCGTGGAAGCAGCAAAAAAAAAAAAAAAAAAAAAAAGCAGAAATCCAGGCCTTGCCAAGCCTGCCTCAATCCCTCTTTTTTCCTGTGCCAGGGTGGCAGGGCAGGGCTGGGGGACACGGCCAGGGTCACCAGGTGACCTCAGCGCCACCCCTGGCACGACAAAAAGGGGACACTGCTCTGTACTGGTCCCTGCTGGTCTGTACTGGTCCGTACTGGTCCGTACTGGTCCCTGATGTCTGTACTGGTCCATACTGGTCTGTACTGGTCCCTGCTGGTCTGTACTGGTCCATACTGGTTTCTGCTGGTCCCTGCTGGTCCATACTGGTCCCTGCTGGTCCCTGCTGGTCCATACTGGTCCATACTGGTCCCTGCTGGTCCCTGCTGCCGGAGCAGAGCTGGCACTGACGCCCTCCCAGCCACGTAGGATCCTCTCCCCACTCCCAGCAGCGAAATTCCTGGAGGGATTTCAAACTGCCTGGCTGCAGGAACACCCCGTGCACTCATTTATCCCGGGATGAGGAGTCAGGATGATTCCAGGGCTGGAATTCTCCCTCTGCAGCCCCACCTGGCCACGGGGCTCAGGGGTGGCTTTGCCTCATTCCCTGCTCTCCTCTGGATGCAGCCCCAGGAAATGTCCCCTCTCCTGTCCCCTCTCCCTGCACACCCCAGGGTGCTGCCCCTGATCGTGTCCTGGGGGGAAAATCGAAGTTTGGGAGAGGTTTCAGCTCCAAAAATCGGGCGGGATTTGTTTACCAGGATCTGCATCCTGCGTTTCTGTGGGGGAAGGGAGAGCTGGATGAAACCCACAGCGATTGCTGTCACCAGCGAGAGGAGCATAAATAGCTCCTTCAAAAAGCACCTCCAGCTCCTTCAAAAGATGCCTCGAGCTCCCAAAAATCACCCTGATGTGGCAGCTTCCCCTCTCAGCAGGAGAATTCAAATCCCTTCTCCAAGAGAATCCAAATTCCTTCTCCTGGCTCCCGTGCAGAGCCAACCCCGGGCACCTCGTGTGACCTCACCCAGGCCAGGTGTCCCCAGGGTCCGTCCTCTGCCCAAAAATTGGAATGGGATTAGGCAGAAATCAGGATTTCACAAGCAAAGCTCCAGTGGGGTGGGGCTTCCCTCCCAAATCCCCACTAGGAGGGAGTTTTCTCCCAAATCTCCATTGGTTTCTCCCAAATCTTCAGTGGTTCCCCAAAAATTTCCACTGACCACAGAAGCTCCTCCCAAATCTTCTGTGGTTTCTCCCAAATTTCCACTGGAATGGAGGTTTCCCCCCAGATCTCCACTGGTTTCTCCCAAATTTCCATTGGGATGGAGATTTTCCCAAATCTCCACCTGTTTTTCCCCAAATTTCCACCAGGGATGGAGTTTCCCCCAAAATTTCCACTGGGATGGAGGTGGAGGTTTTTCCCAAATCTTCACTGGTTTCTTCCAAATTTCCACCAGGGATGGATTTTCCCCCAAAATCCCCACTGGAATGGATATTCTCCCAAATCTCCACCTGTTTTTCCCAAATCCCCACTGGGATGGAGTTTTTTGCCAAATCTCCACTTGTTTTTCCCCCAAATCTCCACTGGGGTGGAGTTTTTTCCCAAATCTCCACTGGGATGGAGTTTTTTCCCAAATCTCCACTGGGGTGGAGTTTTTTTCCCAAATCTCCACTGGGATGGAGTTTTTTCCCAAATCTCCACTAGGATGGAGTTTTTTCCCAAATCTCCACTTGTTTTTCCCAAATCCCCCCCAAACTGGAGTTTTCTCCAAGGCGACAAGGCAGAAGATCCCATAACCCCACCCAGGGACGTGTCCCCCAGCCGGGGATTTTTTGGATTTTTTTCCCTCACCTCCTCCCTTCCCCACCTCATCCTCTCACACCTTTGTGTCCTCCCAGGTCCCTCCAGCGCCATGCCTTGGGCCACCACCCTCATCCTCATCCTGGCCGGGCTCTGTGGCTCCTGCCTGGGCCAGTACAACGAGGAGGAGGATCTGGCGTGGCTCCAGTATTACCTGCGCCAGTCCCGCATCTCGTCCTACAACTACGTGCCCTACTACGAGGAGGAGAGCCCCGCCTACGCCTACTCCTACCCCTCGGCCACCGACACCGAGCCCGAGCCCGAGCCCGAGCCGCAGCAAGCCACGCCCTGGAGGTGTCCCCAAGAGTGTGACTGTCCCCCCAATTTCTCCTCGGCCATGTATTGTGACACCCGCAACCTGCGGTACCTGCCCTTCGTGCCGTCGCGGATGAAATATGTTTATTTCCAGAATAATCTCATCACCTCCATCCAGGAGGGAGCTTTCGACAACGCCACGGAGCTGGAGTGGCTGGCGCTGCACAACAATCAGATCGGCAGCGAAAAAATGGGGAAAAGGGTTTTTGGGAAGCTGCAGCGCCTGGAGAGGCTCTACATGAACAACAACAACCTGACCAGGCTGCCCAGCCCCCTGCCCCGCTCGCTGCGAGAGCTCCACCTCTCCTACAACCACATCTCCAAGGTGCCTCCCAACGCCCTGGAGGGGCTGGAGAACCTCACGGCGCTCTACCTCAGCCACAACTTCATCTTCGAGATGGGAGCGTCCCTCAAGGGGCTCAGTTCGTTGATTTTGGCCGACCTGAGCTACAACAACCTCAGGAAGGTCCCCGAAGGGCTCCCGGCGTCGCTGGAGCAGCTCTACCTGGAGTACAACTACATCAACGCCATCCCCGACCATTATTTCCAGGTGTCCCCCAGGCTGCTGTATGTGAGGATGTCCCACAACAGCCTGACCAACCAAGGGCTCTCCAGCAACACCTTCAACAGCAGCAGCATCCTGGAGCTGGACCTCTCCTACAACCGGCTCCAGAAGATCCCGCGGGTCAACACCAACCTGGAGAACCTCTACCTGCAGGGCAACCAGATCAACGGTGAGCGGGGCTGGGGAAGCCACGGGGTGAAGGTTGGAGAGGGGATTTGGGGTTTGTGACGATTCCTGAGCAGGGCAGGGGTGGGAGATGTGCTGGCGCAGCCTGGAGTGCTCCTGTGGGATCCTTACGTGGGATTTTGGGGGGTTCTGGGGAGCCTGAGAATCTCCTGGGGGTGGAGATGGTGGCAAGAGGGGATGGAGCAGCCGGGGAGGGGTCTGTGGGGTCGGGAGAGGTCTATGGGGTCAGGAGGGCTCTGTGGGGTCGGGAGGGCTCTGTGGGGTAGGGGGCAGAGCTGAGGGGTCCCCAAAGCCACGCTGGGGACACAGAACACCCTGGGCAATGTCAGGACAAGGGACAGGGACCTTCCCCAGTGGCAGCAAAGGGGACAGGGACATTGCCAGCACAGGGGACAGGGACATTGCCAGCACAGGGGACAGGGATCCCAGTGCGAGCACAGGGGACAGGGACACTCCCCGGTTCCAGCAGAGGGGACAGGGACACTCTCAGTGCCAGCACAGAGGACAAGGACGTTCCCCAGTGGCAGCACAGGGGACAGGGACACTCCCCGGTGCCATCACAGCCCCTCTGTCCCCTCCCCAAAGCCCCCCGTGTGTCCCAGCCCGCAGCTTTGTCCCTCCCTCGGAGCTCCCGATCCCGATCTCCTGCCAGGCCCGGCGCTCCCTCCCCTGCACACACAAATAAATAACGGGAACAGATTGTTCCGGGGCTGCTATTTATACAAACGGGCTGGGAAAATAAACCCCGAGCAAAAACTCCGGGAAAAAAAATGGGGAAAAAAAAAAAATCCCCCTTCACCTGCCGGGAACTGAGGGCAGGACTGGAATGGAGAGGTGGGAATGGGATGGGATGGGATGGGATGGGATGGGATGGGATGGGATGGGATGGGATGGGATGGGATGGGATGGGAATGGGAATAGGAATAGGACTGGGAATGGGAATAGAAATGGGAATAGGAATAGGAATGGGAATGGGGATGGGAATGGGAACGTGCCAGTGCAGCCATCAGCTGTTGCAGGGAAAACACAGAACCCCGCAGCGGGAGCTGCCAGCAGCACAGACACGGGAACAGATTCCCAAATGTTTGCTTTCCAAAGCCGGAGCTGCCGCCGTCTGCCCACAAACACCGCGGAGCCACCGCCGGCTCCTCCTCCTCTTCCTCCTCCTTCTCCTCCTCCTCCTCCTCTGCGGCTCCCGCTGACCTTCACAGCCCCCCCAGGAGCCGGGATGCGGCTCCAGGAGCTCCCCTTTGGAGCATCCCGACCTCGTCCCCCCGCCCCACCGAGGGTCTCCTCTGTGGGACCACCCCCCAAAATCCCAGCGTGGCTCCCCCCGCATCCCGCTGCCTTTTCCAGCAGCAGCCTGGCCTGGAGCTCTGCTGCCCTCTAGGCCCAAATCCTGCACAGGAAAAAAAAAGAAAAAAAAATCAATGTATTTTGGAGTTTGTTCCATCTCCCGCTTCCAAAGGCAGCCCGGGCTGGGCTGGGCTGGAATTTCCCTGCCCAGGAGGAAGGAAGAGGAGCGGAGAGGGGACGGCTGGGATGGGGACAGGGACATCCCTGCTCCTGGACTCGCTGCTCGGGGCTCCCACGGTGGCCAGGGGGGCCAGGGGATGGAGGCCGCAGCACAGGGAGCCTCCAAAAGAGGCTGGAAAGGCAAATCCGGATGGAAAGCGATGATTTGTGTCTTACTCCACCCCCCGAGAGCTCCAGGCAGGCTGGGCAGGGAAGTTTCCAAACCCTGGGATGGGCAAAAACCCTCCTGATCCTCCTGGCTGTGACCAGGAGCACCAGGAATTATTTCACCTTGAAAAATCAGGAAAAATCAGCGAATTTGGGCTGCTCCCATTTTTTCCTCCCCCTGCCTGCAGCTCCCAGAGATCGATCCCTCAGACAGAGCATTCCCCACTAAAACCCAACCCTTTTGGGGAAGCTTTTGGGGGATTCATCTGCATCTCCTCTCCTCCTCAGAGTTCTCCATCAGCAGTTTCTGCTCCGTGGTTGATGTCATGAACTACTCCCGGCTCCAGGTGCTGCGGCTCGACGGCAACGAGATCAAGCGGAACGCGGTGCCCCCGGACGCGCCGCTGTGCCTGCGCCGGGCCACCGTCATCGAGATCTGACCCGGCCCTGCCACCCTCAGGACTTGTGTCCCCCATTCCCAGGGATTCCCTCATCCCCGCTTTTCCATCCGGCTCGGCTTCGCAGCAGTGCAGTCACAGGGTGTGCCCGGTTTGCCCCAAATTCTTCCTTTTTCCACCCAGATCGCAGCTCTGGTCGTTCTCTGATCCCCACCCCACAAAGCGTTGTGCCTGCTGTCACCTCCTGTCCCGGATTGGGGTGGGACACAGCAGAGATGGGGTTCATCCCATATTGGAAATCCCAATCCCGATCCCAAAACCGGATCCGGGCCAGCGATCCCTGGAAGGAGCATCCAAGGGGTCGGGAGCTGCAGGAGTGAAAGGGTTAAAGATCTCCAGTTCTGGAGGATCGCTCAGTTTGGGATGAGGAGGAGCAAATCCATCCCTTCCCTTCCTTTTTATCCCTTTTCCATCAACCTGCTCCAGAGAGAAACCCTACAGGAGAGAAATCCCCCCTGGGATCCCAAATCTTCCTCCCAAACCCCTGGATCGGGGCAGGATGGGGAAAATCCTGGTGCTGTCACCCCCACCTGGAGCTGTCACCCCTGGAGCTGTCACCCCTGGAGCTGTCACCCGTCTGGTGTCACCCCTGTGGTGTCACCCCTGTGGTGTCACCCCTGGAGCTGTCACCCCTGGAGCTGTCACCCCTGTGGTGTCACCCCCAGCTCCCTGGGCACCCCTCCCTGAGCTCCCCTCCCTGCCCAGGCCCCCGGGATATCCCAATTAAAACCCCAAAACTAATCACAGAGCCACGTTGGAATCCCCTAAAAAATCCCAAATTCCCGCACTCGGACCCTCAGCCGAAGTTTGGGGACCGAAGGGACAGCTGAGTTTTTGGGGGTGACCTGTCCAGGCGGTCACCCGGGGCCCTCCGCGTTCTTCCTGCATGCAAAGAGCGTCAAAAAAAAACCAAAAAAAAACCCCAAAAAACCCAAAAAATCCCATAATTTCACCAGCATGAACTGTAAACCCCAAACCCATCAATAAAACCCTTCCAGTACCTGCAGCCAGAGCGTCCCGGGAGCCGAACGAGCCCTGCGGCTCCTCCTTTTCTCCAGGATGGTTTTCCAGCCATAATCCAGGCTGGAATTGCCGTCTAGTGGCTGTGGCGGGCATGGCACGGAGATTTCCCCAGGAGCTGCTGCATTTCCCGGAGAAAAAAATCCATGGAAAAGGGTCAGGGGGGAGTGGGAGGGGTGGAGGCATCACTGGGGTTTTTTTTCTGGGTGTTTTCCTGGCCACCCTCCAGGATTCGGTCCTGAGGATTTTTAACAGCTGAGCTGGGGGATGCTTAAAAAATAAGGGAAAAAAAAATAAGGAATTGCACAAGGAGTGAAGCAGAAAGTGTCACCTCCCAGGCTGGGAGCAGCCAGGGAAGCAGATCCTGCAGGATTTGGGATTCCAAAAAACCCCAATCCCTGGTCAGGGGCAGCCCCAAAGCTCCAGCCAGGTAGGACAGGCAGGAAGATCCCACTCCAATCCTTTGGGACACCCCTTCCCCATCCCAGGGTGGCACAGGGACATTCTCATCCTCATCACATCCTCGTCCCAACATCCCAAACCCCATCCCAGAGATCCAAACCCTCCCGCAGGCACCACGATGGGCTGAAGGATTTGGGATGCAGGAGCTGGGATTCCAAAAAAAAAAAAATCCCAATTCCTGGTTGGGACAGCCCCCAGCCCCCAAGCTGAAGCCAGGCAGGAGAGGAAGGAGGATCCCACTCCAATCCTTCGGGACATCCCTCCCCAGTCCCAGGGTGGCACAGGGACATTCTCATCCTGATCACAGCCTCATCCCAACATCCCAAACCCCATCCCAGAAATCCAAACCCTCCTGGAGGCACCAGAATGGGATGCAGGAGTTTGGATTCCAAAAAAAAAAAAATCCCAATCCCAGCACGGGAAGGATTTGCTGGATCCCATCTGCCCTCATTTCTGGGGCAGAGATTCCACACTCCTTCCCAAATCCCGGCCTGCAGGAGCCAAAGGCAATGGGGAGAGGATTTAGGGAGCTCAAATCCCAAAATTTCTGAAGGATCTGGGAAGGATGATCCAGAGAGAGCAACCAAAGGGGTAGGAGAGATTTTAGGGAGCCCAAATCCCATAATTTCCAACGGATCTGGGAATGGATGGTGCAGAGGGAGCAACCAAAGGGGTTGGGGAGGTTTTGGGGAGCCCAAATCCCATAATTTCCAACGGATCTGGGAATGGATGGTGCAGAGGGAGCAACCGAAGGGGTTGGGGAGATTTTAGGGAGCTCAAATCCCAAAATTTCCGAGGGATCTGGGAATGGAGCAAACAAAACCCAGGAGCTCCAAAGCTCCTGCGGCAGCTGCTGGATGCAGGCAGGGCTGGGAATTCCGGATTCCCGGCAGGGGTGGGAGGGGAAGGGGAGGGGGCAGAGGGTCAGGACATCCCCCCCCCCCTCCCCAAAATCCAGGGACAGCCCCCATTGGCCCCACAGGCGCCCAATCCCTGCCTTGTTGTGGTGGGAACAGCAGGGAACGGGGGCTTGGCTCCCCCTCCTCATCCCCTTCCTCCTCCTCCTCCTCCTCCTCCTCCTGCCGGGAGGAGCTGCAGGGTCCGGGGGGCCCCTGGATCCCACCGGGAATGAGGAGGAGGAGGAGGAAGGGGGAGTGCAGGGCTTTGTCCAGACCCACAGAGCAGGAAAAAGGAGAAGGGAACCCCAAACCAAACCCAAAACTCCCCCCTGGAGGCTGCAGGGGGTTTTAGGGGCAGGGGGGGGACCGACCCCAAAATCACTTTGGGGTTTTGGGGATCTGCCAAGGGCTCTCCTGGGCTGGGGGATGGCAAAAAAAACCCAAAAAACAAAAAACCCAGCAGCTCCCACTGGGTGCTCCATGGGGACCAGAAGGATTTCTCCAGAATCCCCCAAATTTCTCCAGAACCCCACAGATTTTTCCCTGAGAACCTCCACAGATTTTTCCCTGAAAATCTCAGTTTTTTCCTTGAAAACTCCAGATTTTTCCCTGGAAACCCCCACAGATTTTTCCCCGAAAACCCAAATCCCACCTCTCCTCCTTTCCACATATTCCCCCCTTAATTCTCCTCCTCCCTTTGCTTTTTTCTTTTTTTTTTTCCCTCCCCTTTTACAGCCTCCCTCCCTCAGCTCCAACACTTCCCAAACTGTTTGTAAACATTCCCTTTAGGATGTTTCCTCAGGAAGCGCAAATTTCTGGTAGGGGAAAAAAAAAAACCAAAAAAACCCCAAAACCTAAATCCAAATATTTCCCTTTGGAGAAGCGCAAAAAAATTTAAAAATCCCAAAAAAAAGCAGCGAGGCAGCGAGTGCTGAGCTCATCCCAGCGCTTCCAGAGGGATCCGGGAACGGGGACAGGAGTTCAGGACAGGTCCCCGTGTCCCAAACCTTGGTGGCACTCAGGGATCGGTGTCACATCCCCTTTGCTGGATTTTTCGCGGATTTAACCCAAAATTTGGCTGGAGGAGACTCGGGGACAAAGGGACAAGGGGTGGGGAAGGTCCCGCCGTGCCGGGAGCGGGTGGGGACGGTAATTAAAGTTGATAATTAATAATCAACTGCCAGGATCCGGCTGCAGCAGCTGGGAAGAGATAAGGGAACCACAGGAAAAAATTCCCGGGAGGGGAAACCCCACTCGTGGAACGGGGGATGAGGAGTCCTGATCCCAAAATCCCAAAATTGAGCTGGGATTTGGGGGATTTGGGATCTCCCAACCCGTTCTAGGAAGATGTGGAGCTCTCCTTTCTGAAATCCCAAACACTTTGAGGGGACCATGGGGGAAATTCTGCTCCCACAGCCCCAAAACTGAGCTGGGATTTGGGGGGTTTGGGGTCTCCCCACCCACTTTAGGAAGATGTGGAGTTCCCTCCTCTGAGACCCCAAACACTTTGAGGGGACCATGGGGGAAATCCTGCGCCCCACACACCCCCCAGGCAGCGTTTTGGGAATGGGGGGAGAAGTTTGGGCAGGAAAATCCCAATTGGCTCCACACCAGGAATGAAACAGAGCTGGGATTTTGGGGTTTTGGCTCTTTCCATCTCCTCTGGGATGGTGCTCCCACCTCTGAGACCCCAAACACTTTGGGGGGACCATGAGGAAAATCCCACACACCCCCCAGGCAGCGTTTTGGGAATGGGAGGGAGAGATTTGGGCAGGAAAATCCCAATCTGTTAGCCCCACACCAGGAGTAAAATAAAGCTGAGATTTTGGGATTTTGGGTCTCTTTGTCCACTCTGGGAAGATGCTCCCCCCTCTGAGACCCCAAACACTTTGGGGGTACAATGAGGAAAATCCTGCGCCCCACACACCCCCCAGGCAGCGTTTTGGGAATGGGGGGAGAAGTTTGGGCAGGAAAATCCCAATCTGTTAACTCCACACCAGGAGTAAAACAGAACTGGAATTTTGGGATTTAGGCTCTTTCTATCTGCTCTGGGATGATGCTCATCCTTCTGAGACCCCAAACACTTTGGGGGGACCATGGGGAAAATCCCACACACCCCACAGGCAGCATTTTGGGAATGGGAGGGAGAGATTTGGGCAGGAAATTCCCGATCTGTTCAGCTCCCATTCTTGCCTCCCCTTTTGTTCCCCCGGCCATCTGTCCCCACGCTCCCTCTGCACGTGCCATAAATATCAAACCGGGCTTTGTCTCTGCCCCAAAAGGCAGCGGAGCCCCCCCTGAGCCCCCCTAAATCTGCTGGGGGCTGGCACAGCCACGGGGGGGGGGGGTCTCTGGTTTGGGGGACATCGCCCTGAGCCCCTCCCGTGCTGCCCCAGGAGGTTTTGGGGTGGTTCTGCCACCACGACCATCCATGGGATCCCCGAGCTCAGCTTTGGGATGGAGCTGAACTCCATCACCAAGAGGAAAAAAGGGAGAAATGGGAATTCTCAGCCTGAGTGTTGGGGCAGAGCTCTGTGGCTGCACCCCAAAATCTGTGCTGGTGATCCCGAGGGGAATTTGTGGGGCAGATCCTCTGTGGGATCCCCCCCCAAAAGGGGGACACGACCCCCTAAAAACCCAACAGATGTGCCATAAATGGAGAAAAACGCCTTCCCAGAGCCGGGGGATCCCGATTTTCAGGCGGGATTCACACACAGAGTGAATCTCAGGGAAGGGGGGATGAGTTTTGAGGGAGCCCCGCAGCCGCGTCTCATCCCAATCCCGATTTTAATCCCAACAAAGCAAAGCCCGAGCCAGGCGGGGCAGCTGCAGCCCCGGCCTTGCCCTTCCCTGTTTTATCCGGTGCCATAATGGGAACAAACTCCCATTTAAAGGGCATTGTCCGAGGGGGAAGGAGCCTCGCCCTCCGTCTGGCAGCTGGGAGCGCCGGGGGCTCGGGGACATTGTTCCCTGCAGCCCGGTGCCGGTGACATTTCCTGGATGTCCCTCACGGCAGCGGGTGTGGCAGTGGCGCGGGGGTTGTGTCC